CAGGACGCGGGACAAATTGTTAAAAAGCGGGACGTCTGGTCACCTTATCAATATCTAGAAACTTGTATATGCCGGGGGTTTAATTCCGAGAGTTCTTGGGTGGCTTCAGAGTACCTGTGAGCCCATAAATGTATAAGCACATGCGTGTATGCCTACATATGCCTAGGAAGTGGGTCCCAGGCCTTCCCCGGACTCTAAGAGGTTCTGCATCCCAGAGATCGGCGTAACGAGAGAGCGGACGGGGCCAAGATTCTGACATTCTCCCCCGTTCCACAAGGGCCCAGGCCCGCTCCTAGCGCCGGGCCTCTACAGCCTGCTGCTTGTGACTTGATGTGGGGGACTGGGCGGGGGCGGAGCCGCTGGTCTCTCTCCTCGCCCTCCAGCTAGCTCTCCCCGTTTGACAGGAACAGACTAGGTGAGCCGGAAGCTTCGTCGCGCCTGCGCATTGGGTGCGGAGCGTCCAGGTCCCGCAGGGAGCGTGCTTTCTTTTGCTCCGCCTCTCTCTGTCGTACTCACGCAAGACTGGGCGAGGCAGCCCACAGCAGCCTGCGAAGCCGGGACGCGCCCGCCCCAGACACTGCGCCTGCGCCGGCACGGGACGTCTGCTTCGGGATGAGTGTGCGTGGTCTAGAGACCCCGAACCCCGGCCCATCCCCACGCCAGCACGCCATCGCTGCTCCGACTATTCCCCGGCCTCCGCCCGCATTCTTAGTTCCCGATCCCGCTCCCTTTTCCCCCTAGTGCCCCCTTCTGCCCTGAGCCCACCACCCATGTTCCCACCTGCTCTCCCCATAGGCCAGCTCCGTGGAGCAGCTGCGGAAGGAGGGCAACGAACTGTTCAAATGTGGAGACTACGAGGGCGCACTGGTGGCCTACACCCAGGCCCTGGGTCTAGGAGCGACGGTCCAGGACCAAGCCGTTCTGCACCGAAACCGGGCCGCCTGCCACCTGAAGCTGGTGAGGGTTTGTCTGTCTTAAGGAATGCTTGTCCCAGTCCGGCATTCACTTCCCCAGGTTACCCTCACTTGTCGGATGTCTTTTGGACGTCAGGGTGATGGGGGATCTGACAACCCTGCAGAACAAGAGTACCCCTGTGGCTTTGGTTAGTGCCCGGAAAGGGGGCTGTAATCTTCTCAGACTCTATTCTTTCTGTTACAGGAAGATTACAAGAAAGCGGAAACTGAGGCAACCAAAGGTAGGGGAATGTGGACCCTGGTGTGGAGCTGTGCGGCTTCTGTGGGGCTTCTATGGTGGGCAAGGGCTCTCAGACCACTGCACCGTCACATACTTCTCCTCCGCTGGCCCTGGAAACACATCTGCCTTCTTTCTTTCCCACTTCCTCGGGTGTTTCCTTTTCTGCAGCTACCCTCACCTTTTCTGAGGCTGAAGTACCGAGCCCCACATTGATCCCCCCCACCTTCCTCTGGCCCTCGAGATCTTTCCCTACTGCTCTTGCCTGGAGATGGTGGCCTCATGGGTGCTGACAGAGCTCCTGTTTATGCTCAGCCATTGAAAAGGACGGTGGGGATGTCAAAGCACTTTATCGGCGGAGCCAAGCCCTAGAGAAGCTGGGCCGCCTGGACCAGGCTGTCCTTGACCTGCAGAGATGTGTGAGTCTGGAGCCCAAGAACGAAGTTTTCCAGGAGGCCCTGTGGAGCATTGGGGGCCAGATCCAGGAGAAGGTATGTGAGTGACAGAGAGATGGAGGAATTGACTAGTGGTAAAGATATCCCGGTCAAGGGTGTAGACACATTTCCTAGAGAGGAGATACTAACAGCGAATGAACATATAGAATGATGCTCAGCCTTGTCTGTGGTTAGGGAAAAGGAAATTAAAATGATGTCATGGTACTGTGTTTTTGGTGGTCTATTTGGCAAACATTTAAAAGTTATACACTTTGTGAGGAAAGAAGCAGATACTTCAGTGGTGAGGTTGTGGGGTCATGGGCTATGCCTGCTAGAGGGAGTATAAACTGGTATGGCTCCTTTGAGAGTAGTTTAGCATATCTATTATTTTTAGGGCCAGTGTAGCTGTGATGGCTCACACTTGTAATCCTAGCACTTAGGGAGCTGAGGCAGAAGGATTTCTTGAGGCCAGT